CATTTGCGGCATTGTCGTGAGCAGCTTATCTCTGCGGGCAGGCTGCTGATCGACATGAAGGCGGGCATCGGCCACCTTGCCGAGAAGCTCCACGTTGTCAAGCTGGACGGGGAGGCCATGGTGGATCCAAATGCCCCTGGGCTGAGATGGTGCCTCCCGGAGGGTTCCTTGTGTTTAAGACAGAAACAGATGGCTACAGTCAACCCGTGGAGTTTAGCACAGTGCAAGTCACCAAGCCTGGCTTGGCACGTTGTCCTCTATGTCTGACTGGAGGATGATCCAAATGGTCGGCTTGACTTTGCCATTTTCAGAATGGAATGGGACATGAACTTCAGGATCCTGAGGTTGGTGTTGGGAAACGCACAATATCCACCTCTTCCTTTCAGATTCCAACAAACAATTGCCAAAACAAGGTTCCGAGCAAATTTTGAGACGCTGAGGACGAGAAGGTGGAGGTGGAGCACGTGCTGGAGCAATGCGAGTTGCCGCTGGGCCGTCGCCTTTGTTCAATGTCTCGATGTGAAGACAGGGAGCATGTCATAGTTGGCGGTTCATGCAGCTTTGCATGCGGATTTAGTTCACAAACAACTCTTTCATTTTTTCCAATGTCTGTTGCCAGTCAGTGCCTGAACGGCTTCCTTGTCTGAAAAGTGGCTTGGCTGTGGAAGAAGTAGGTGGATTGGCTCCTTCACACTTCCGGACTCAGTTTCCAGCAAGCCGACACTCACAAGCTTTTTTCAAATCCAAGTTTCAGTCTCCACACCCACTCGCGTCTTCTGCTCTTCTTTTTTTTTTTTTTTCTGGACTGGGAGATTCTCACTCTGGAAGGAAGCTGACACTCACAAGCTTTTTTTTGTCCAATCCAAGTCTCAGTCTCCAGACCCCTCTCCTTCAGGCTGGTTTTCTGAGACAAGGTTGAAATATTCTGATTTTCCAATCCGTCTCCAGACGCTCCCTTGACGAGATTCTGTCTCTGGAAGGATTCCGAGGAGTTATTTTTTTCCTGGTGGTAAAGCGGCAAAAGGAGAGTGGACATATCAGGGCCCGCGTAGGCATATTACTGCAGCAGGCGAATAATTGAATTTGCTGCATGCCAGGAGCTTCACATAGAGAAGTCATACCTTCTCGGCCTTGTGGCTATGATCAAGTGCAAATCTTCTCTTATCAATGTGACAACTGGTATGTCTCCAACTGGAGACTTTTTGGTCCGGGAAATGTCTTCTTGAGCTTGCTCTGAAGCTTTCACGCGTTGCCGATGGCTTGGCAGCAGCACGTCCTATGCGTTAACTGCTTGTTTTTCACCTTGCTGCTTGGTGTGAGCACAGCTGTGCTTATTCAGCTTGCTCAGAAGTGCAACTTTGAAGCGTTTGCTGTGGTTGTGTGCTGCGCTGAGAGTTCAGACCATGCTTTACTTGCGGAAGGGGCTATAAAGCTACTAATAACGCTCAGCGGAGTTGAAAACTACTCCAATTCCCGTCAAGTTTGGTTGTCAAGGTCGTTCTTGCAATTTTTAGGCGGGCTTTTGCTTGTTGGTGTTATTTTGCTACCAATAGCGTTTCTTTGCTCTTGCTTAGAGGTGTTTTTTTGATGCACGTTTGATGTCAGTTCGTTTTCTAGCCAATGCAAACCTACCTGGCTCGTGCTGGGCGGAGATCCATTCTAAGGCCCTTGCCTTTGTGTGCAAAGTCCAACATGTTTCACACTTTGTACCTCCAGTAGTTGCTTGCCATAGCTCAAGTCCATTGCATCCCTGATTCAGCGGTTTTCCTCAACTTGGCTCAGCCAGGTCCTTCGAAACCATTTTCTGGCCCAGCTTGACTTGCCCTCCTTGTGTTCATGAGGTGCGGGACAAATCTGGTAGCGAGCAGGGTCTGATCCCCTGACTATAGGGTCCTTTTTGGGTTGAAGTCCAACACGGCTAAACATTGCAAGTGTACTTTGGGTGGTCCTTTTCCTGTGGTTTTTGCTTGTGGTAAGATTTTCCTACGGCTATGAATGTTTGTTTGTATAATGCAAGCGAGGTCCACCAAACGGTCGCCAACAAAGATTCATACCCCAACTGCTTGCATGGGTGTTCCTTCGCCCTTGCCTTTGAACCACCCCAAACAAATACTCAACAACGTTATTGGAAATCTACTGGTTGCGGGAGAACAACCCAGTTTTGTCCTCGGCTACCACGCCTTGCAGCCTGGTCAGGAAGATCTCGAAGCTCCTGAGCCTCACGGCTCCCCTGGAGGAGGTCAGCGACCGCCAGCGGCGCCTGGACGCGCCTCGGATGTGCCGCCTCGGATCGGACGCCGAAAGCCGAAAGGCAAAGGGTGTCCTTTTCGTTTTCTGTTTGAAGGGGGGGCAACTGGGCAACTACTTGGAGGAGTTCCCGGTTTTGAAACTGCATGTGTGCAAGGAGACCCCTCCAAATGGCGTCCTTTTGGCTCGCTTTCGACGAATTGCCAAAAATACACGTCTTTTTTGGGTGAAGGAGGTACAAGCAGCATCTTCCGTTTTCGATATTTTGGGTGAAGGAGGTACAAGCCACGCCTGTTTTCGCATGCTCACGGGCAACATGCCACATCCCACCGTGTGCAGGCCAGAGAAACCATTCTGCGAACAAGTCTGATATTGGTGGTGAGGCGCTTCTTGAGTAGCATGATTGGTCAGATGATTTGTAATAATTTGCAGTTGAAAAGTACCATTGCAAGGGTTCCAATCAAGAAAACCGTTTGCGTGAGCCCTGCCAGCCAGCATAGTGTTATGCCCAGTTCCTTGATGTTCTGTTTAACGCCTAATAAACAGCAAACATGTAAACTTTCAATATGGCCCGTGCGGGCTTTCTCCCGTTGGGTCAGTGTGTCAGTATACATATTGACATCTGTCAAAATCTCGGGGTGATCCTTACAAACATGCCATGGTCATTACCTACCTACCTACCACCCACCCACCCTATCTACCTTCCTACCTTCCTACCTTCCTACCTTCCTACCTTCCTACCTTCCTACCTTCCTACCTTCCTACCTTCCTACCTTCCTACCTTCCTACCTTCCTACCTTCCTACCTTCCTACCTTCCTACCTTCCTACCTTCCTACCTTCCTACCTTCCTTCCTTCCTTCCTTCCTTCCTTCCTTCCTTCCTTCCTTCCTTCCTTACCTTGACGCCCGCCCAGCCCCGCCCCTGTAGCTACCTGCCAGCCTACCTACCTACCTACCTACCTACCCACTCACTTCCAGCCCTAGCTGAGGGTCGCATGAGCTTCCTTCCCTTCCCTTGCTCCCCTTAGGACGAGCGCTACGAGGAGAAGCTGATGATGCGGAGCCAGTCAGAGGCTCGGATCAAGCTCACAGTGCAGGACAGACGCTGGGGGAGGTTGCGCGGGCTGGGAGGTTGGAAGAAACTTTATGTGATGGAAGTGCAGTGTGATTGCAGACATTTGGCTGACCGAATGTGTGATGCGATGCTTGTCTGGTTGCTGACACGGCGGCCATGCATTCCCTAGAGCTCGATCAACTGCTTGGTTGGCTGCATCCGTGTTCCCGCGACTGCGCACCTATGAATTTACAGGTGAACTGAGTCCGTGTTGACCCCAGAGGTCCGCGTGTTTTGCAGGAGGAGGAGCACGACGATGACGACGACGACCTGGACGAGGAGCTGGACGACGAGGTGTCCCACCGGAAGCAGATCAAGTACAACAGCGAGCGGGTGGAGCAGCAGCAGCAGATTCGAAACAAGAGGAAGGCCAAGGGCAAGAAGATGCCTGGCAGATTGAAGAGAAGAGGGAGGAGGAAGGGGAAAAAGCGGTGGAACATGGCTATGCTGAAGGCGATAAGCAGCACATGAGGCATGTTGGCTGTGGGCAAACGGGTTGATCTCGTTGGGGCACGAGGATGAGGTGAACGAGGCCAGCATAATAGCTTGATCAACATTTTTTGCAGCAAGTGCGTTTTTGCTCAGTACCGCGACACAAGGAAAGATGCCTGACCCTCCCCGTGCAGAATTGACTGCATGCGCCACCGGCCGGCAGAACCGGCTTCTTATGATGCCCGCGGATGGATTTCGTGCCCGGCTCCAAAGTTAGAGGCAGTGTTTCGCGGAGTTCAGCGGTGTCTTGTAGAGTATGACTTCCACCGCCCTGGCCCCCAAAGCCAAGATGCTATTGAGGTTCAGTCGGCTATTCCTTTTGAGCCCCTTTGCCTTTGGGTGGTGGACTTTGCATGTGCTTGCCGGGCTCGTCCCGTGACCATGGCGCTTGCCGTTGGTTCCGGTCCTGTCCAAATGCTGACAGAAAGACTGGTGCCCCAAGCAGACGCAGACATGGGCTGGGGATCCGCGACAAACATCTTTGAACCCAGGCAGTTCTTTGCCATGAGCTGTGAAGGAAGTGCAACGCACTCCAAGACTAAACGGACCCCTGCAGAGCCTCCTGGCTTGCTTTGACGCGTGCGAGGCCTCGCGCCACTCCAGAAGTGTACAGCACCTGGGGAGCAAGGAAGTGCAGCCGCTCTGGCATAAGTGGAGTCAGACAGGTTCAAAGGCTAGTTTGCACTTCAAAGACGCATTTACAACCAGTTAGGTTTGCATTTAATCGCCACTTCTGACGTTGGCAAGATGAGGGAGGACTCTGCTGTCTCACGTCGCTTGTTTCACAGTGCTAGTGAAAAAGATCAGCAGATGCTGCCCGAAACAGCTTTGTTTTTGTCCTTCCTTTGTTGATATGTGAGATCATCTTTGAATCTTTCTATCGTCAGCCCTTTCTGTCGTTGGCTCTAGCCCTCATCGCACAATGGCAATTAACCGAGTCGATGGCTTTGCATTCTGGAGAAGGGAACGTGGCATGCAGAGCAAGAAGCGTTTGAACAGATGTTGCAGTAGCTACTTGGATAAATCACCTACCAACTGGTGGAGGAAATTGTCCATCAGCTTCTGCTAGAAATAATCGAGATGCATGTTGCCTGCTCACCTCGCTGCCAGCTGGGTTCGAGGGTTGCCTGACTTTGCCTGAAGCGCGATGGGTTGCTGCGGGTCCAAATCGGAGGCGTGCCGTGGGCGGCTGGGCACGGTTTTGGGGCTGCAGGATTGCATTTCAATCAGGAGATCTTGCAGGTTCTTTGCAATTCAGGGCAGCCCGCCAATAAAGCAAGATGGCAAACAGTTCCCCTGCAAGTGAACCGGACCAGCTTGTAAGCGAATTCTGGTACATCCTTTTGTGTGTGTTTGGCTTTCTGGGCTGCTTGCGCGCAGACGGCATCCGCGGCCATCGGCGCTGGGAACACCAAAGTCCACGTGGGGCCGCTGGAGATCGATTCCTCGGGCGTCTGGGTTTGGTGACGTTACATCTTTCCCAGCAAATTTCGAGCTCACCCATTTTGGGATAATACGAGCGAAACTCTAAAATTGCGTGTGTTCGATGGGTAAATCATAGTGAAAGGATGGGGCTTTTCTTTTCGGGGGTTCACAGTTGTTTCCTTGCATTAGGTTATGGCTAACATGTACCAAAGTGATTGGTGCTAGATTGGATTCTCGGCCTAGGGTCGAGCATTGACCAAGGTGTGGTGGTGAAGCCCAAGTTCAACCTGGGTATCGCCGGAGGCCGGGCAGGATTTTGGGTTGCGCCGTGTGTATGTTGTCATGGGGTAGCAACCTGGTCGAGACGTGAGACCTTCTCGAGGCTCCATCTATGCCCTGGCTGGGGTGAGGGATGTTCGCGACGGTATTGCTGCAGAGACCTTGGCCATGTATGTGAAGTCTTACGCCTCTTCTGGCAAGACCCTGGTGGAGTTTCTGAGGCAGATCAAGGCGCAGGACTGAGATTCAAATGGGTGCCGCAAGCGCGGATAGGAAGCCACTCTTGTTGTGAGCCTCAGTTACATGCTATCCTTCAACATGGGAAATGGAGATGTTTGTCTTGCGTGTATGTGTTGCGAAGGCTGCGGCTGCCTTGGCCTGTCTTAAATCCTGGGAGCCTTCCGATAGCTTTTGTCCAAACAGTTGAAACTTCTTACCAGGAGCCCCTGCCAGTGCTGGACGACATCATCGCGTCGTTGCCGCAGATCGCTTCGCAGGTGGTGGAGACAGCAGGAGCAGACATCCAGAAGGAGGATGTGCTGGGGGTGGAGGGGGTGGTCTACATTTACGTGGGTGCCGGGGTGACTGCTGGGGTCTACCTGGGCTGGGTGGACACATCTGGGTACCGCATGATTGGCGCAGAGGGCACCATAGCCACCGGCGCCGGCTTGGGCGTGACGTTAAGGGCCGGCATGAACGAGGACAAGATGGCGGTGAGGGTGGTGGCGTACCTCAGCAATGTGGGCTTCGACATCATCGTGAAATATCCCCAGCCCCAGGGCAAGTGAAAGAAGAAAGAGTCCTACGAGTTCCACATGCACGACGATCCAGGACGAGCCAAAGTGTGCTTGCCCAGAAAACCCCGAAGGGGTTGGACCCTAGACCATCTTCCTTGTACAGGCATCTCAGCCACTGGTAAAACTGCAGCGTTGGTTCGGCAATGACACTTTGCCGAACTCTCGAACTGTAGAATTTCTAGATCTGGCTTGGTGACTGGCAAGTGAGGATTCGCGCGCCCGGAGGTGCATGAAAACAGACTTCCATGGGTGATATATAGGAGCTGAACGTTTTGCGCCGCTGGGCCCAGGCTGCTTCTATCAAATCGGTACACAAGCGAACAAGAGACAAAGGGTGGTTACAGCGCGAACTTCGTTTTGACGCAGTCCTGGGCGCCACAGCATCCTGCCTGGTAAGTAGTTGCGGACTGGACTCCTTGGCTGTGCTGCCATGAGGTTTCTCTGTTTCAGCAGTCAAACGACCCGCATTTGTTTTCATGCTTTGCATTCTTTGCAGCATTATTTGTCATGTCTCACTGGCATGATCTTGCGCTATCTTGCCTTTTTCTTGTAATTTGTATTCATGAGTTGTATCTCTTTTCATACCGTTCTTGTCGTTCATACACTTCATTTGTTGCTTTTCAGCACCTGCCATGGCCTTTGAATTGCAAGCTCCGCACGCTCCTTCGCTTAACAACCTTCCACCTCGGCGAATAACATAAAATCATCTTCGCAAACTTTGCCACACCTTGCTGGTATTTGTGTGGTTAACTTTTTTGCCGACTTACTTCACAACAGCTTCAAAGCCAAACAGCGTTTTTGGATGCGCTTGGATAGGCCTGAGGGGTCTTTCTCAGTTGCTCACTCATCAGCTTGAAACCAACATCCTTCCCAGATCGAGCAATGTGGCCGGCATCCTCATGAAGCCGCACAAGTGGGATGCGTTGAGACTCACAAAAAAAGACCTTGATTCCATCGTGAAGTGAGCAATGACTACAGCAACAGCCCACAGCCACGGCACACTGGATCCAGCAAAGAGAAATCAATGCAGTGCGCAAGCACGCCTGCTGATGCACTCGATCCGTGCTGCAGCCCATTGGCCGTGAAGAATTCGCTCCAAGCGCGAAGCGCCGTTGTACCGCTCAGCCCCGACACTCGCCTTGTTGAGTTTGGCGCGAAAAAACTGCAAGGGAGGCATTGTTGCTCCCATAAACCAGCATCTCACTAGGCCTTCCTCTCCTTGTAGATCTGTTTTGGCGCCGTGCGTCACGCCGCTGCCATCGTTGAGTGAACGCCTTGCAGGGCCTCCTCTTGTGCTCCAGGCTTGAAGGTCTTGGACACGAGGCCAGGCGCTTTGAACGGAAGCCTCCGCTTTAGCGCTTCTGCGGATTTGTCGTGAACCCGAAGGCTGCGCGTGCGCAAGAGTTGATCGACGCGACATTTCTGGCAGTTGGTCCAGCTGTTGCTTCGCTGCAAGTGCAGATAGTGAAACATGGCAAACTTAAAGAAATTGAGGGTTTAGCCCGATCCAACGGGTCCGAGCGAATCTAGCTCTTTGGGTTTGGTGAAGCGTACGACACTGGCCAGTTTTCTGGCCTGCGCCATTGTCAGCCTCAGTCTTGCACGTGTTCAATATGCTTTTGGACGTTGCAACAATGCTGCAAATTGGGAATGACGATATGATCATCACTGGGTCTCACTGCAAAGTGGAATGTGTGAGTGTGAAGGGACTCGAGTCTCTGCAGCGGGCCAAACCACCGGTAACCTTTGGGCCTGCCAAGGCACAAGAAAAAATGTTTTGTCACTTGTTAAAAGGAACTGTGGAAGGCAAAACAAAACCAAACCAAGGGGCCGGCCAACATGAAAAGAAATTAACAAGCATTCCGTTCCATACCTACACCTTTTCTGCCAGATTGTGTTTTGTGCTAAGTTGCCCTTCGCCGTGTGCGGTTTCGTTTCAGCATCTGCAAGACATGTTTTTTCTTCGCGGCGCGGACACTGCCCCACTTCATTCGGCAATCTGGCTTTCCAGCCCGTCGCATTTCCTCGCGGCGAGCCAGTTTCCTTGGCGGCGAGGGCGTGGGCGTGGACAAGAGAGTCCGCCCTGGCGCGCGTGGCCAACGCAAACTGGAGCGGGCGGCACACCTCTTGGAACGCGAAAGGGTAGGCTTGCGCAAAGGTCTAGGCAACGAGCAGCCGAACGAAGTCGCTGAAAACGATTCCCCGATTGCGCCCGGAGGGACATCTTTGCAAGCTTGACAAGTGGCGCCTGGCGGGCGTGTCCGGATCAGCAAGACCCCACTTCCAGCAGCGCCTGCCGCGCGCGAACCCGGACAAGGTCGGCGGCCCGGCTCCAGCCTCCCTCACGGGCAAAAACACAGAGTCCCCGGGCGCCGGAACTCCAGTAGGCACGAGCTTACGTTGCTTTGCCGCGCGCAGCGCCGTCCATCGCGAGCAGCAGCTCCCGCCTGCGCAGTTGCAAGGCAAGCGTCGCTTTGCAACACAAAGCAACGCCCGAAACCATGCTCGCGACAGCCACCTCCGCAAAATGTTTGCCCAGCGCTTGCGCAAACAGCTTGCGACGGAAGCAGCTGAGTTTCGACCCCGGCTCCGAAGTCTCAGAAAAACCAATCGCCGGCTCCAACCTTCTCCTTGTCTCAGTCAAGATGACCTCCTCCCTGCCAGCTTCTGTTCGCCTCCTCTAGCTCTTCCTGGACGCTTTTGCAGGCGCCGTCGCTGTGATGACCTTGGGCAACCGCCGCTATGTCCCGAAAGGATTACGGGCCGGAATTCACATCGAAAACCGCCTTGCCGGTCTTGTGACCGACCAGGTCGGCTCGGCGTCGTGGCCGACGGCCTTCCATTTGGGGCACGGGTTGCAGCTTTTGGTCCCGCCGGCCGCTATCAGGGACTGGCCGAGGTTTGGAGCGGACTTACCCGCGAGGTGGCTCTCTTTTGCGAACGGCTAAGGAATCACCAGGAACTTGGCCCAGCAACGCTCCATCCCACAGTTCTTGCTTTGTGGGCCTGCTTTACGGGCTTGCGGACGCTGGCGGACCCTGCTGATGGATGGCGCACCAACAAGCGCCAACGCAGGCAAGCCGCCACGAGCTGTCGGAAGCCGAGCCCAGCGACCCAAACGCAAACCGTCCACTGCTGACGCAACGGAGGTGGACCCCTCCTGATGGTCCGGCCCTTCTGAGTCCGCGGTGGTTACACCTCAGTTTTTTTTGAGACTCCTCCACGGTTTTTTCCCTGGAGGCACGGTTCATGTTGGCCCTTGACCGCATTCCCTTTCCTTGTCCCCCGTATGGGCCTTGAGTGCTGTTTGTTGCCTCGTTGCGCAGCCTGGTAAAGGTGGCAGCGACCGCGCAGCTTGCAGTGCAGTCTGCTTGGAGCAATGCTGGGTAGACGACGCTGTTGGTGACATCGCTGACTGGCGGGCGCCGCTCCGTGAAGGCAAGAAGAGGAACTAGCTGCAAACGCCCTGGCTGCTCCAACGCGGGCACGGAAAGCGGCAGCTCGCTCACGGGCAAGGAGTCGGACGAACTGAGCGGTGCTGGCACCGCCGCTCCCAACCTTGAGGGCGAGAACAAGCACAAAACACGAGCTCTTGCAGTGGTAGACACGTGCCTGGTCGCCAGAGTCCAGTGCTGACACAACCGCGAGCTGCGCCCCTTCCCTCCGACTAAGGAAGTCCATTGGATATCTGATCCGCCTATCATCAAAGCCTCTTTGCCACAGATCCGAGCAGCGGCCCGCTCCAAACGGCCACCACGGGCGCACAACGCCAAGCGGATGCTAAAGGCAAAGCGAGGCCGCAGGCGACGGAGCAGAAGGACCCGAAAGAGTGCAAAATCGAGCGTGAACTCCGCGCAGGTGGGAAAAACACGGAAGGCACGGGCAGCGAAGGGCCAGCCTGAGAAACGAACAGGGCTGTAGCGCCGTGAGGCTGGGTGTGTGCTGCAAGCCGCTCAACATGCTTGCGCGCGAGATGTGGTCGTAGGCCCCGACACCGTCTATGCTGAGGACCGTGGTGCGGGCGTCGAGCTCGAGGCTCAAGCCATTTTGGCTCAAGTGCTCGAGTCTAGGGCTGCCCTCCCTCAACTGCCGCATGGACTTGCTGTTCCGCGTGGGGTGGGCGCTGGCGAGATGGGGGGCCGAACGCGCGGAGGAGACCGCGCGCACGGTGGCCCAGCTCCCGCCCACCTGCAAGGAGGCGCTATCCCACGCGGTTTTCGTGTGCGCGGGGGGCGCCCCCCGCTACTTCCCGCCTGGTTGGGGGCCACTGTGTTCGTGCTGGGGCTGGTTTGGCTTGGGCTCGCTCATGGGCGCGTGCTTCGCCCTGTTGTGGCTGCTGTGCCGGCCGTCTCGGGGGGCGCCAGCCCCACAGCGCGGGAAGTCCTCGATAGCCGAGGGCGGGCATGCGGAGCTGCGCGGCTTGGCCGGCCAAGCGGGGATGCCGGTGCTCCTGTGCCACCTCCTCCGCGAGGCTACGGCAGCCGGGAGGACGGGAGGCGCTGCCGCAGGAGGCCTGCGACAGCAACGGAACCAATCCGCCCCCCACCGGCGGCGACGTGCACCGTGCGTGCCGCCTGAAAACAGGGACGGCTGCGCGGGCCTGGTCCAGCGCGACAGGGGGCGCGCCGCGCAGCTGCGCGAGCCAGCTCCCCCAATGCAGCATGGCTCCGCCACACGGCGGCCGCGGCCACTTGGAGTTGGCCGGCCGCGTCCAGCAATAAGGCAAACAACCAGCACCGGGGAGCGTTTTGGGCTGGCAGGTGCTGCGGCGGCGCTCGGCGTGTCCAGGACGCCGGCGCGACGCCTTCCACCGATGACGGGGGCGTGTCCGTTCCACTGCCCACTGGCCGCCCAGCGTGGGCTCTGCTACCACACTGGCGCTCCTCGCCGGCCCGTGGAGTCTAGAACTCGATGTTCTTGGTCGGGTTCAGGCCCATCTGCGCCAGTGCGTGGAGGGCGCGCTCGCGACGCCCTGGCGCAACCGGTCTCCT